GCTGATGTGAAGCGCTTTTTTAGCTTGATAAAAGCCTCTTCAGCTTCGGGTCCCCAATGAAACCCAGCACCATTCTCCTTGGTGAGGGCGGATAATGGGGCTGCCACAGTACTGAAATTCAGAATGAATTTCCTATAAAAATTGGCAAAACCAAGGAATCGTTGCACCTCTTTGACCGATGAGGGGGAAGGCCAGTCCACCATAGCTTGGATCTTTTGCGGATCCATCTGGATTTGTCCGGGCTTGATGATAAATCCAAGGAATTTGACTTGGGTTACATGGAACTGGCATTTCTCGGGTTTAACATATAGGTGGTTGTTAAGAAGACGTTGGAGGACCTTGCGGACGTGAAATATATGTTCTTGGAGGGAGCTTGAGAAAATAAGGATGTCATCTAGGTAGACAAATACAAACTTATTCAGCATGTCTCGAAGAACATCATTGATGAGGGCTTGAAACACTGCAGGAGCATTGGTAAGACCAAAGGGCATCACTAGATATTCATAGTGCCCTGTGGGCGTGTTGAAAGCGGTCTTCCACTCATCTCCCTGTTTGATGCGCACAAGGTGGTAAGCATTGCGCAGATCAAGTTTAGTGAAAATAGAAGCCTCTTGTAGGATCTCAAAAGCAGTGGACATGAGTGGCAAGGGATAGCGGTTGCGGATGGTGATTTTATTAAGCCCCCTGTAATCTATGCATGGGCGCAGACCACCATCCTTTTTTCCAACAAAGAAAAACCCTGCGCCTGCAGGAGAGGTGGATTGTCGGATGATTCCTGCTGCGAGGGATTCCTCGATATAACTTTCCATGGCAGTACGCTCAGGAAGGGACAAGGAAAAAATACTGCCTCTTGGGGGGCAGGAGTCTGGAAGTAGCTCGATGGCGCAATCATATGGACGGTGGGGCGGTAAGGAGGTAGCTCTCTTCTTGCTAAAGACAGCTTTGAGGTGGTGGTACTGGGCTGGAACTTGGGACAGATCCACGGGTTCTCGAGACTCGAAAATGGGGTTCAGAGGTTTCAGATTCAAACAGGTGTTTTGACAGGTAGGACTCCAGTCCAGAAGGGTTCCACTTACCCAGTCAATGTGGGGGTTATGCTGCAAAAGCCAGGGATGTCCGAGGATAACTGGAAACTCAGGTGACTGTATGAGGTGGAAACAGAGCTTCTCTTCATGTTGGTAGATGGAAAGAGACAAGTGAGAAGTAAGGTGAGTAACCTCTCCTGGAGCTAATGGTCTGCCATCCAGTGCTGTGACTGACAGTGGTTCTGGAAGAGAGTCAATGGGAATATTGAGGTCTTTTGCCAGGGTGATGTCCATGAAGTTTCCTGCAGCACCAGAGTCAATAAAGGCTTGAAGTTGGGATCTTTGGTCTGCCCAAGTGAGGGTGATGGGGAGGAACAAACCACATTTGGAAGGTGAGGTGCTGTAGGTAACTCCCGTTACAGTCCTTCCCTGCCTGTACGGGACTGAGCGTTTCCCGAAAGCTGGGGACAGGTGGAGCGAAAATGATCAGACAGACCACAATAGAGGCAACACCGCTCTCTCATGCGGCGGTCCCTCTCCGTAGGAGAAAGGCGAGTTCTGCCCAACTGCATTGGCTCGGGATTGTCTTGGTGTAACAGTACTGGGGAAGAGGAGGTTGGAGTGAACCCTTCGGTGGAAACAGTGGCGCGATAAAGATGTCTCTCCCTCAGTCGATTATCCAGTTTAATTGCTTGGTCTATTAGGGACTCGAGATCTAGGGCAGGTTCCCTGGTAGCCAAATCATCTTGAATAATCTCAGATAACCCGTTCTGAAAGCAGACCATAAAAGCTTCATCATTCCAGCCACTCCCTGCAGCCACTGTTCGAAATTGAATAGCATATTCTGCCACACTGCCAGTCCCTTGTCGAAGGGTGAGGAGTTTTTTAGAGGCTTGCCGGTCACTAAGGGGATGGTCAAAGACTCGCTTAAACTCCTGTTCAAACGCCATGTAGCTTGAGCAAAAGGGTGATTTAGCCTTCCATACTGCAGTGGCCCAGGAAAGGGCCTTACCGGACAACAGTGTGATCACATAGGCAATTTGGGCCCGATCTGATGGAAAAGATGAAGGCTGCAATTCAAAGGTGAGAGAACATTGGGTTAGGAAACCATCACACGCACTAGGATCACCTGAAAAGTGTCGTGGTGGAGGTAGACGAGGTTCCATCATGGGAGAGGGTGCTCGAGATTCTGACATAGGTGCTGGGGTGGTAATGGAGGCTGGAGTTGTGCAGGTTGGCAATCTGTCAAAAAGTTGGCGAACAGTAGTCATTAGTTCAGAAAGTACCTGAGAGTGTTTGGCCATCAGGGCCTCTTGCTGTACTAGGACATTCTCATGGCGTTGGACGGTTGACCCATGTTGAGCCACTGTGGCAAGTAGCTCCTGAGAACTGGGGCATTCTGGCTCCATGTTGTTGGCTCAGTTATTCTGTCAGGATCGGGGATAGAACCCGGGTCTCTGGCATGAGAGGTGAATGACTTCCCTACTGAGCTACTGGGAGATGAAGAACCCAGACGAAGAAAGGCAACTTGCTTCTCAGTGGAAATTTATTATTGACAAAAAAATCTTCAATAAGTGATAAAAGTAAAGAGAGGCAAAAAACAGAGTCCTCCAATATCCAAAAATACAAAACTCAAAAAGTAGGCAAAAACACCTGAACAGTTGAACTCAACAAACACAAAAGATATAAGTCATTAAAGAGCTTAGAGTTATAATTAAGAGGCTTTACAAAAAGTAACTCACAGTGGTTGACAGGCTTGAATCCACAATAACTGAGCAAAGTACAGATGAAACTGAGGCTACTTAAATACAAGAAACTAAACAAGGCACATGTGAAATCAATGACAATGATTACGGATACCAAATAGAAAACTACTAAATGACGACATCTAGTGGACAAAAAAAAGCATTACAGGAAAAGCTAAAATGACAAAGGGCAAAACCCTGACAGTTACTGCAGTTCAGGATTGTGAATGTAGTGATTTTGGGCAATCGCTACCAAAGTTCATTGATAAATAGATAATGCAAATTGCATTGCAACTAGAGGTCATTTACCAATTTAGCAGACTTTACAAGCAGTGTCAGTATCAGATATTTATGGTGTAAACATGTTTGATAATTGAATAACTGGTTTTGAGTTTGATGGCTTACATGATGAAAAATGATTGGGAAGTTGTGACGAGTTTGGCAGTTTAAATGAGAATCCACTCATTAGTTTTGATGCACAAGCTATATGAAATTAGTTTTTGTCTAAATGACACTGTTACTGTACTTACTGTTTCCACACATGGGCCAAAGCATATGCAATTTGAAATTGCATATGCTTTTTCATATACAATTTCAATAAGAAATGCCACTCTGAAGTGAACAATAAGCTAATGCTAATAAGCAAAGGGCTTGATAAATATTTTAATCCACTATTTTATATGAGAATTGTGTCCTCAATCAGGTGGAAATGATTCTGGATGATCCAACTCATTTTTTGTTTCCACATTATGAACTGCTACCCTCTGGTAGGAGATAAAGAGTCCCAAAGTGTAGGCTGAACCGAAATGTAGCTGTTTTACTGGGTTTATTTAACAATTTATCTTAATTAGCATTATAACTATTGTAATTACTGTATATTGTATTGGTTTTATTGTTTTTTTTAATGGAATGTCTGCAGCAAAATGGTGATGTCCAAAAAATGTCCTATCAAGGACAGCAAAGCTTTAATACTACTAATACTACTATTACTACTATGACTACTACTAATGGTTCAGAGATCTACACTTATTGTTTTAAAAAATAAAAATTTCAATGGCGAATTAAGCCAAAGCAATCGAGAAAAACTGTAAAAACAATTATACTACGTGATATTTTTGATTAATTAATTATTCGGGTCTAAGACAACACACAACAGTAATTCTATAAAACATCTTTTTTTTTGTATTCTATTGAATTGTCTGTTGAATTTCACTGTAATAAAATTGAAATTCATGCAAAAGATTTCTTAAATTATCTTAGCATCACTTCAGTTGTGTCTCTTATATATATATATATATATATATATATATATATATATATATATATATATATATATATATATATACATACACACACACTATTCGTAATATTTTATTAAATATAATATTTATTGATTAAATCATTCATTATTTTATTCATTAATTTTTTTACATTTATTTATTTATTTATTTATTTATTATTTATTTTGAGAGGGAACTGTGCCCCAGTAGAGCCTTATGTCTAGGAACGCCCCTGTTAAAACCCCTAATAAAATAGTAATAAAAAAGTCCTTATTAACACATTTTGTTGGTTGAATGTATCCTTGCTAAATAAAAAGACTCAAAAAACACAAAAACAAACTGGTATTGAACCAACACTTAAACTGTAGTGGTTTTGGGAGACTTGTATGAGTCAGATGAAGGTAAGATCATGTTTTTAAAAGCTGCATATGAGTTTTGACAACCAATGCAAGGCTAAAAAAACACATTTTAAAAGTACCTGCAATAAGCAATGAATAATATATAGTCAGCTGTTTATTGCCTTACAGAATGATGAGTGTTCTGTAGGAATCTGTGGAGATTCAGCATCAGCTTGCAAAATTAACAAAGAAGCAGAAGGTAGATGTTATCGAATATCATACATTTGCACCACAGGAGACACATAATATGACTTTACCAGCTCTCTTTCGCTCCCTCCCTCTCTCTCTCTCTTTACTTTTTCTTCTGCATTCCAATATTGACTGTGTGACCTTGTGCTAAAAGTCAGCCCTGTACAGCTAGTGCTAATATTGATCGGAGCTGTCATCTCAGACACTAAGACTCTACAATAACACATCCTTTATGGACATTTCCCTTGAGATCTTTGCATTAACTCCTTTGGTTTTAGACTGTTTGCATGTGCTCTGTTTTGTTAATATAGATTGATTTTTGCATTTCGCTTACAGAGGCTATGTTATGTTTTGTGTTTACAGAGTACGGGCGTTTTGAGGCCAAAATTCATGACTTGCGAGAGCAGATGATGAACCACAGCATGAGTTCTGGATCCGGATCCCTCAGAACCAATCAAAAACGTTCACTCTATGTCAGGTAGGTTAAATCTATTCGAGTTCACATTTAAAACAGCAAGGATTTATGATCATGGTTTGGATTTTTGATGGTAGTTTCATCTTGTTTTTCAGTCAATTTTTCAAACAAACAACATATTTGCATTACCTTGTTGAAACTTTTTCCCCATTTTTCTCCATTTTAAAACAGAGATATATTGTTTGATTTATTAGTTATTGAGAAGTTTTTATCATATAATATTTGTGCAGAAACATGGTTTATGAGTTGTAAACATGTAGATTAGGATTTATCTATAATTAAATTAACACTTTTTCCCAAACATATAGAATTTTGAATGTTGGATGAAGCCATTTATGTTATTATTTTTGAAAGATGGTGTATTTTTCTATTTATATTGTATATTTTCTATATAAATTGTACTTTTAAAATTTTTTTAATGTAAAAAAAAGTCAATGAAATATTAATGCATTTTGAAATCTGATGGATTTTACTCTGGTCTTCAGTGTCACTTGTTACTTTTCAAAACGTTTTTCAGATAGTATTATTGTAATTATTGCATTGTATTGATGTTGTAAAGAATTCTGATAATAATATATATTTTTAAAGCATAATGCAGAATATTTTAGAATTTTTCTTTTGAAATATGAAATTCTTAATTATAATTTTGTTGAAGTTAAAACAAACTCGCTGAACATCTTATTTTGGCACTCCAAAAACCAAAACAGTAAACATTTAATGAAATGTTATATGAAATCATGCAAGTTATGCATAAACAAACTCTGAATGTTAATATTATAGTAATAATATATTCATATATTAGTATTATTATAGTAATATTATAGTTAAGGATGTTTGATCAGGTTTTTTTGCCCTCGAGTCTGAGTCATATCTGCTGATACCAAAACAGTAGGTAGCTTGAACAATCAAGTAATACATGACATCATTTCTTCACTTTTGGACTTTAGTGCAACAGTAAATATAAAAAAACCTAATATAAAGTAATAAAATAAAAAATATATGAAGTAAACAAATAAACAATCTGACTTAATGAAATACAACAGTAGACACAAACAAAGAGAGTAACTGCTGCCACTGACTTTAAATATCAACAGCTCTTCTAAATGTCATGTAAAACAGCATGTGAAGTGTGTACGCGTGTACAATCTTTGATCCAGACTGATCTGAGAACAGACAGCATGTGCTCCATTGAGTGGGAGTGTGTGTTGGTGTGGGTTTTGTGTGTGTGTAAGAGGATAAAACTGGACACTGATGAATCCTGACTCAAAACACTCCAGACTCCCTGCTGGTTCACACACAAACCCCTGCAGCGTGTTTGTGTTTGTGTGTGTGTGTGTGTGTGTGTGTGTGTGTGTGTGTGTGTGTGTGTGTGTGTGTGTGTGTGTGTGAGTGTGAGTGTGAGTGTGTGTGTGTGTGTGTGCGTGTGCGTGTGTGCAACAAACATCTTGCTCCAGGCTAGAAACATGTCTCATTGCCCAGGGAGACCACAGTCATGTTCACATCAATCCAACATCAGTTCCACATCACAAGAGCTAAAGGACAGGCACTTTTACATGATTAGGGGGATGCTGGGATATATCAGTATCCCAATCTTGCTTTTCAGTAAAAATATTAAAGCTAAACGACAAAGCTAAATGATAGAATTTGATTTACAGATTTAAAAGTTAAAATAGTTGTTTTAAAATATACTATTCATATATTTAAAGCAAGATCTTAGGGCAGACAGTAAGCTTATTTACATGTTTTGCTTATTAAACTGGGTTTTAATATTATCTCCAGACTTAAATCACAATACAGCTCTTTAAAGGCTAATTTGTTTAAAATAAATAAATCATGCACTGATGCGGATATTTTACTAGTTACAGTACATAGCATAAGTCTTACGATTTTATTAAAATTTTTTAAAATATGAAAAACAGCAAAAAGATTGCTGGTTTAAGCCCCGGTGGGGCCAGTTGGCATTTCTGTGTGGAGTTTGCATGTTCTCCCAGTGTTTGCGTGGGTTTCTTCTGGGTGCTCTGGTTCCCCTCACAGTCCAAAAACATGCCGTACTGGTGAACTAAATAATCAAAATTGGCAGTAGTGTATGTGTGTGAATGCAAGAGTGTATGGGTATTTTCCAGTGCTGGGTTGCAGCTGTAAGGGCATCTGCTGTATGAAACGTATGCTGGATAAGTTGGAGGTTCATTCCACTTTAGCAACCCCTGATTAATAAAGGGACTACAGTGCATCCGGAAAGTATTGATAGCGCTTCACTTTTTCCATTTTTTTATGTGACAGACTTATTCCACAATGGATTCAATTTATTTATTCCTCAAAATTCAACACACAATACCCCAACATGACAATGTAAAAAACATTTTTTTTTTGAAGTTGTTGTAAATTTATTTAAAAAAAAAAAAAAAAAAAAAAAAGCTGAAAAATCACATGTACATACGTATTCACAGCTTTTGCCGTGAAGCTCTAATTGAGCTTAGGTACATTCTGTTTCCACTGATCATTCTTGAGATGTTTTAGCAGCTTAATTGGAGTTCACCTATGATAAATTCCCAGGGTTGACAGTACAAGTCAAAGCACAAACCAAGCATGGGGACAAAGGAATTGTCTGTAGACCTCCAAGACAGGATTGTCTTGAGGCACAAGGCTGGGGAAGTTTACAGAAAAATTTCTGCTCCTCTAAAAGTTCCAATGAGCCCAGTGGCCTCCATCATCCATAAGTGGAAGATGTTTGTAACCACCAGGACTCTTCCTAGAGCTGGCAAGCCATCTAAGCTGAGGGATCGGGGGAGAAGTGCCTTAGTCAGGGAGGTGATTAATAACCCAATGATAATTGTATCTGAGTTCCAGCGTTCTTCTGTATAGAGAAGAGAACCTTACAGAAGGACAACCATCTGTGCAGTAACTCACCAAGCAGGCCTGTATGTTAGAGTGGCCAGACAGAAGCCACTCCCCGCCTGGACATTTGCCAAAAGGCATCTGAAGGACTCTCAGACCATAAGAAACACAATTCTCTGGTCTGATGAGACTAAAATTAAACTCTTTAGAGTGAATACCAGGCGCTACATTTGGGGAAAACCAGACACTATTCATCGCCAGGCTAATACCCTCCCTACAGTGAAGCATGATGATGGCAGCATCATGCTGTGGGGATGTTTTTCAGCAGCAGGAACTTGAGGACTAGTCAGGATAGAGGGAAAGATGAATGCAGCAATGTACAGAGACATCCTGAATGAAAACCTGATTTAGTTGTTGTTTTGGGTTGCTGTTGTTTTTTAAGAGACAACAAATTGTTTACAGGCAATTCCCAAGGCTACAAATATTCAAGAAATTATTAAGAAGATAAACAGTAAATTCTTAAGATCTGCATGCTCCAGAACGCCCCACTCTCTTTCAGCACACTTTGACTGAACATCTGCTGTGAATCTCCCAGATATGTTTCACAATGCAGTCAGCGCAAGACATTAGATCTTCATCAGCTGTACATCCCTGATTTGGCTCGGTTATTGTGTGCTAGCTGGAAAATTTCAGCAGTACCAGCGCACCTGTGGAAAGCCATTGTGATAAAGCGCTCTCCTGTCAGAAATGATACACGCATAGATACAGATACACACCTCCTCTCCTCAGTTTCTTCTTCCCAGCTGCAGTGTGGTGCCGCAGGCCCCTCTGTGGGTGTTGGATAATTGTACTGTGCCGTCGCCAGCCATTTGGGCTGGTTTTGCAGAACTCGGATGCTGGGAAAAGCTGAGACACTGGAAATCAGACCTTGTAGGGAGACATTTATTTGCTGCAGAACAGATACATCAGCACAGATCAGCTCTCTAAAGTCACCTTTTTATGTGGGTTTAGTAGTGCTGGGGAAACAAATAACAATCAAACCTTGAGCCTTTTTTTAACACCCTTGCTCATAGCACTGGCTGAATGGTACTGTTGTGTGGGTTAACTAATCTGGGTACACTGAGGCCCCGTTTACACTAGTGCGTTTTAGTTTGAAAACGCATAAGTTTTGCTACGGTTACGCCATCCGTCCACACTACGCCGGAGTTCTCGAGCGCCGAAAACAGAGCTTTTTGAAAACGCTGGAAAGGCCGTTTTCATTCTGAAACGCTGCTGCTCCGTCTCAGTGTGGATGGGGAAAGACGGAGACATCTGAAAACGGAGGCGGGGCTGCAAACGTTCGCCTATCTGATTGGGGCTTTTCCTCAATATTAAGTAGCCCACACACAGTTCAGTCTCGCATTCTCTTCTTGTAAGTTAAGACTTCGCAAGTTTGATCAAGGCTGCAGTCTCCCCCTTCTCAGTTTGATATGGAAAACATACCGAGGACACGGGTAAATCTTCAAAGGGAACAGTGTACTTTATAACTTCATTCACATCACCTTGGCTACGTTGTTTCACTTTCTCAACAATAAAATGTAAACATGATTTAAGGAACTGCCTATTTACTTTTTAATATTAGCAACTTAACAGACAGCAGAAATGTTGAGGCGTCGTGCTGCATATATGAGCGTCATCTTCACTGTGTGGATATTTATAACAAAACGGAGCCGATAACAACTGTTTCCTTTCAATTTCAGTGAAAATACGAAACATACCCTCTCTTTTGCTGAACATCAGTTTTAATAATCGATAATTATAAAAGTATAACATACAATAAGTTTATACATTGTAGGAAGTAAAGGCAAGCGATCAGTCAATGTACCTGGATTAATCATTATCTTATCTTTGCGCTTAACCAAAACATGTTACCCGTGAACAAGTAACTTAAGTTAATAGATTCCAATGACCAAAGTCAGGGAATTGGCCTATGTCGTTAGATAAAGACAACAACATGAATGAAATATCACGTTCAGCAAATATAGTGAGATTAGATCCAGCGGGAAATGCTTGATGAGCAGTCCGACAAGCAGAGCTCTCATCTGGGTAGAAATGCTGGAGCGCTTGCCCGAGAGTGTGTGTGTGGTCACGTGATGTGCGTTTTCAGCGTTTTGGTGTGGACGGAGAGC